CTACTTTAAACAATATAGTATTATTTGATAGCGTAAAACATTGTTTTGATAGTTATTTGGACAAAAAAGTGAACCCTGTCGTACACCTGGAGGACAGCACTAAATAGGTCATAGCACAGGCCCCGGGGACCTTTTTAATTACAAAAAAAATATCTCATGGGTCGTGTCTTAGGGAGCTACAAATATTACCCAGTTATGGTTAAATTGCTTTCGGCAAAATTCTTTTGTTCCTGTAACAGGTCCTTTGGTCACGAACATCCTTGGGCAAAAGGGACTTAATATTGAATAAAAGGAGGGATAACCCTCTTGAGATGGAGGAGTGTAATGGGTAAATCTTTAAAATCCTTCTTCTATACCAATGAAGCTTTTTCAACCAAAATTTGCCAAGAGAATCCTTGAGCAAAAGGGACGCAATTTTGTATAAATTTATGGCGTTAGAACAGACTATTGATAAGAAACATATAAAGTCAGATCTACGTCTCTGTACCAGTCAAACAAGCCAGTTACACAATGGTTTCAATACATCCATTAAAATGACAACCAGGGTAAATGGATGGTGACCGGAGTGTTTGATGGAGAGGACTTGTATGTCCTGTAACTTTTAAGTAGGCATTGTACGTCTTATTTACCAATATTAGTTATAAATAGGACAAAAATATATGGACCTCATACTGAGGTAAGATATTACGTCAATATGGCAGGTTCGATGCCTATTTACCCAAAGCTATAATCCACCAGTGAGTGCATCTAACCAGAGACATATAAAGCCATATACGTGTTATATACGTCTCTGATCTAACCAGGCACTGTTATGACGAGTCCTCGGGTAATCCCGTGTCTAAGGCCATATTAATACATGCATTTCATGATACAGACTCAACTAAACGTTTATTTCGCGTTATGTTGTATGAAACATAAGATCGTACAATCATTACAAAAGTTTAAATGGGTTTTTATTTTCATTACAGACCGATATAAAAAAAGTCGATAAAACGTCAGAATAATTCGGACTATACTACTGCCTACGTCATGCCGTTACCTATTTTCTAAAAAAGCAAACATCTTGATTTTGTTCTTCCTGCACCTTGGAATGGTAAAATTACACTGTTTTCGAATAGCATGTCTTACACGTGTATTACGCTCCTTATTTTGTGCTGCAGTCTTCCTGCATTTAAAACAAATGAGACTGTCCTTGACGATGAATTTTACCGCATGTTTGGTAATATCTTTGCGATAATAAGAGTTCATTTTTTTTGCTTTGCCTTTTTTTTTTATTCTGGCACAACAATCCAATATATCTTGTATTTTGGCATCGTTTGTTTGTGTTTAAATAATAAATAAAAAAAATACTAGTGACATTTGAAGGGTAAAACTGTTCATAAATATCTTTTAAAATTATGTATCAAAGCGTATCTGCATGTACTGTACACACACACAGGGATTTGTTGACATGATTCCATAGAAGATAAATCAATGAGTATGTTATTAAAATATCAATAAAATGTTCCATTGATTTGAAAAATATTTATCACTTAATTAAGGAAAATGATCACATGCCTAAATATTTAAAAAAAAAATACAAACTTTTTTAACCCAAGAAAAATCTGTCGCAGTTTTGAGAAACTTCATCAACCTTTTTTTGTCATTATTTTGAGCACTTTCCCAAAGTTGTTCATTACAAATGTCTGAAATACACATGCTATACTGATATGGGTCACAGCACACATTAACATTGGTACTGTGATCCATATCAGTATAGCATATGTATTTCAGACATTTGTAACGAACCCCTGTGGTTGAACGTCACAGGCTGAATATTCTCACCCCTTTTCATTACATACACTGTACATATATGTATTTTTATAGATTTATGGTCCTTTTCACGATGCTCAGAATATGGGCAAAGGGAGACAACTTTTATGCATAGTATATGTTGTATTGGAGCACCAAAAGTTCAAAGGTCGATGAATACCTGTCTGACTAAAGTGATGTCTTTGTATCTTACCGGTAATCATCTTAGGTTTATAAGTACTCATTGTGCTTGGCAAGGGTATACCTGAACATTCTTGTTTTAACTGAACTGATATGGGAATTAAGACCAAGAAGAATGGAAGAGTACAGTGGATCAGGTTGTTCATAGGGTACAGGGTCCATCTAGAGGTCCTTAAGTTTTCAATATTTATTGGTCAGATTTATTACAATATTCTTATTCTATTACAAAGAAAATGTATATGAGCTTTGAACTAAAATGTTGTCCATTTTAAAAATGTTCCTGAAATTGTTTATCTCAGGTGAAGAAAGACGAATACAATTTTGAAACTCCATGAATATATGAACTATTTTAGATTGAAAATTTCACTAGATTATTTTTCCAAATGCCTCTGCTAGGGTTTGAAATATAAAAGAACCTAACTACCAAGGTATAGGGACCCATCCTTGAAATTTCAGGGGTTACGCTCACTTACGTTCTCTGCACCCCTGGATTAAGTCATGACAATCAAAGTCACGGGTTAGCTACTTGATTGGTTTCAGGTGAAAAAACCTGACCAATCACCAAGTTGATACATGTCCTTTTAAGATAACAGCGGTGCAACACCCATCTCCAAAGCGGGTCAATTTAAATGTTTCACTGCTGCATGATTCTTATGATGGATATCAAAAGATCAAACTAGTCTACGTTGATCAGAAACGTATATGTCCCTGCTTTGATCATCCATGACAAGCTGGTTATTCCAGGGGTGCATGCAGAGAACGTAAGAGAGCTGTCACCCTTTGATTTTTTGGGATATTAGAGACCTTGTGATAGTATACCTAGTGAGTGTTAGTTACGACAAAGTGTTATATTGTTGCAACTTCTCACACACTTATCAAATGATATATACCGTATTTGCTGTAATTAACGCTCCTCCCCCTTTCAGCATCCTTCCTCCTTCTTTTGGGAGGAATTGAAACTATATAGACCCCCTCTTAGACCTGACACAGACTAATCGATGATTAATAGTACCAACATTTTGAAGCAGAGATTCCTGGTGATTAGGCTGGACTTCCTGTGAAGTATTAGGCAGTTGAAAGCTTCAAAGCTCCAGCCACACTGGCAGGTTTATAATGTCCTTCCCTTATAACAACTCGCTGAAATTGTTCAACTTTTTCTATTACAACTCATATTTTATTATCCTTTTAAATGCCCCCTTCAAGCCAATTTAAGTGTCCTGGGTGTTAATTACAGCAAATACAGTAGCCATCAGCTTAGTGATGGCTTGATAGTGGGACATCAGCTTAGTGGTGGCTTGATAGTGGGACGTCAGCTTAGTGATGGCTTGATAGTGGGACATCAGATTAGTAGTGGCTGGATAGTGGGACATCAGGTTAGTGGTGACTGGATATTGAATCATCAGAATAGTGGTGGCTTGATAGTGGGACATCAGCTTAGTGGTGACTTGATAGTGGGACGTCAGCTTAGTGATGGCTTGATAGTGGGACATCAGCTTAGTGGTGACTTGATAGTGGGATGTCAGCTTAGTGATGGCTTGATAGTGAAACATCAGAATAGTGGTGGCTGGATATTGAAACATCAGAAAAGTGGTGGCTTGATAGTGAGACATCAGCTTAGTGGTGACTTGATAGTGGGACATCAGGTTAGTGGTGACTTGATATTGGGACATCAGCTTATTGGTGGCTGGATAGTGGGACATCAGCTTAGTGGTGGCTGGATAGTGGGACGTACATCAGATTAGTAGTGGCGGGATAGTGAAACATCAGAATAGTGGTGGCTGGATAGTGGGACATCTGATTAGTGGTGGCTGGATAGTGTGATATCAGATTAGTGGTGGCTGGATAATGTGACATCAGATTAGTGATGGCTTGATAGTGGGACATCTGATTAGAAGTGGCTTGATAGTGGGCCTTAGGCTTAGTGGTGGCTGGAGTCTGGGACATCAGATTAGTGGTGGCTGGATAGTGGAACATCATAATAGTAGTGGCTGGATAGTGGGACATCTGATTAGTGGTGGCTGGATAGTGTGACATATCAGGCTAGTGATGGCTGGGTAGAGGGGCATCATATTAGTAGTGGCTTTATAGTGTGGCATCAGACTAGTAGTGGCTGGATAGGGGGACATCTTATTAGTGGTGGCTGGATAATGTGACATCAGATTAGAAGTGGCTGGGTAGTGTGACATCAGATTAGAAGTGGCTGGGTAGTGTGACATCAGACTAGTAGTGGCTGGATAGTGGGACATCTGATTAGTGGTGGCTGGATAGTGTGACATATCAGACTAGTGATGGCTGGATAGAGGGACATCATATTAGTAGTGGCTTGATAGTGTGACATCAGACTAGTAGTGGCTGGATAGTGTGACATCAGATTAGAAGTGGCTGGATAGTGTTACATAGAAGTGCTGGCTGGGTTATCATGGCTTTATTGCATGTCATGTTACAAAATAAAGGACAAAGACATGTAGTAAGTTCCAACAACATTTTATTTGACCACTTCACCATGTATAACTAATTACTGAGAACAGGAATTAATTAACCAATATATATATATATCTATATATAGATATTGTATGATGACCTTTGTCATAATAATATGGATAATGTTGTACAAATAACATTAGGGATATATATTTAGTTGATATAAACTCTAAAATTTACAAAATCACAGCAAAATAGATGAACAAACTTGGAACATGGTGATTTTGTTTGCTGTAAAAAGTTAGAATAATAGGTGTAGCTTACAAACATTAATGATCAAGGGTAATAAAATCAAGTAGATATTTAAGAAAAGTTTTCTCTCAAATACCAATATCCCTTACAATACTTGAAGGTATTTACACTGTATGCCAAAAGCCCTAAAATTGGCTAATCTTTTGAATCACTCTCTATTCTGTCTTTTCGTATTGCAGAGTTATCTGCTCTTGTGAGCAGGTATTGATTGTTATGTCATTAGTTTGTGTTAGAAAATTACGCCGTTTTCTCAAAAATTTATGACGTTACTCTCATAAACAAATGACATAACAATCAATACCTGCTCACAAGAGCAGATAACTCTGCAATACGAAAAGACGGAATTGTAATTTTACAAGAAATAATGGAATTTCCAGAAAATATATATTGAAGAAGATATAAAACGGCTATAATTGATTGTGTTTTCTTCAGAGTTTACAGCAAACAAATCCTCCATCAAGTCAGGTTTCATGACAAAAGAGAATAAACTTACCATACCATGACCGTACATCATTGGAGAGATTTACCCGTACTGCACACAGATGAAAATTTGTGTTGTAAAATGGATGCACACTGGCTAATTAGGCATGACTTAGGTTGTATACAAAGTCCCGACGAAAGAACTGAACCTCTTAGGTCAGTTTTACATTGAGATATCTAATATGGTGGCACCAAATTGGTCCCAAGAAATCAAAAAGATTTTTATTCAAGGTTGATGAAAAAGATAACCAAGAAATGTTTTATAGTAAATAAGACACAATATCATGGTATGGTAATTTTGCTTTTATATAAATGGGAAAATCTAATGAGAAAATTCTATATATTCTGCTATGTGGTTCAAATGTAACAGGACAGTGCTAGAGTAGAAAATCACAAACAACTTTTCACAATATACATATCAATATTTCCTAACAACTCCATAAGTTCTCATACACAAAAACACTACATGACTTCTACCTGGTAACCTTGGAAACTGTTTAAACAGGTAAGTAACATCCAACTCATCCATACACACTATTATAGGAGGGAATAGCTTTGGATACTCCTGACCAGAAACACAAACACTGCAGTGTGTAAATAAATCATTCAATATTGTGTTAAATATAAAAAATGTTAAGTAAAACATGATTGAAGATGCCTACTTCTGTATTGCATTGATCACTCATAAAAAAAGATGTTTTATCCAGAATGACAGGTACAAATTGTTATAATCTGCAAAATGAAATACTGATATCATCACCAACATCTCCTTTCTACTGATAATTTACACAAAAACATTTTCCATAATTTCCAAACAATAATTGGTAAATTGTGAGATAAAAGTCATCAGGCTGAGAAGATAAGAAACAAACTTATTTTGCCTCCATGCATGCAGTTTTGTGTATAATGCACTTAAATCAGGTGATCATAGACTAGAGTTTGCATTTGAAAATAATACTTTCCAATATTTTATAATAAATTACAGGAATTGCACATATACCAATGTTTACAAAATCAAACATTATGAATACAAGACCAACATGATCAATACAAAAACAAATAGTTATGTGAAATATTGACTGTAATTGTGTTTATTGTGCATACCCTGTCAAATAGACATATTCAAAACATCTTAATTAAATACTGTAGAAAACATGAGATCTTAACCCTTAAATATTTGCAATTCAAATGTTTTTGCGTACCATGTGTTGATAAGTAATGATATGATTAGAGAAAAAAAACCAGTTTGATATTCAATATAACAAAACAAAGAAGAAATGAGGTGATCAGAGAATCACTAATTTTACATAAGGGTATCTAACATCTGATTTCTTCACTTCTAATCAACAATCTTACAATGATACAATTATATATAAAAAAAAGATCTCTTCTTCAGTTTACACATTTAATACAAGAATTAAGTGAATGATAATGCCTATTCTGATATGGTATTGATGCATAGTGTGTATTTTAGATGAACATATGCATTATCTCCCTTTGAAAAGCCCCTGAATAGGAGATGAAAACATCATGATGACAAGGCGTTACACACAAGTTCTAAAGCAGCCCTTTAACAAGGCAGTTAAGAAGTTGGGTCAGGTAAAGCTTGTGGTCACTGAGAGGTAAGCTAACTGGGTCAGGTAAAGCTTGTGATCACTGAGAGGTAAGCTAACTGGGTCAGGTAGAGCTTGTGGCCACTGAGAGGTAAGCTAACTGGGTCATGTAAAGCTTGTAGTCAGTGAGAGGTAAGCTAACTGGGTCAGGTACAGCTTGTGATCACTGAGAGGTAAGCTAACAGGGTCAGGTTAAGCTTGTGGTCACTGAGAGGAAAGCTAACTGGGTCAGGTACAGCTTGTGATCACTGAGAGGTAAGCTAACTGGGTCAGGTTAAGCGTGTGGTCACTGAGAGGTAAGCTAACTGCGTCAGGTAAAGCTTGTGGTCACTGAGAGGGAAGCTAACTGGGTCAGGTAAAGGCTGAAGTCACTGAGAGGTAAGCTAACTGGGTCATGTAAAGCTTGTAGTCAGTGAGAGGTAAGCTAACTGGGTCAGGTCAAGCTTGTGGTCACTGAGAGGTAAGCTAACTGGGTCAGGTAAAGTTTGTGGTCACTGAGGGGTAAGCTAACTGGGTCAGGTACAGCTTGTGGTCACTGAGAGGTAAGCTAACTGGGTCATGTAAAGCTTGTAGTCAGTGAGAGGTAAGCTAACTGGATCAGGTAAAGCTTGTGGTCAGCGAGAGGTAAGCTAACTGGGTCAGATAAAGCTTGTGGTCAGTGAGATGTAAGCTAACTGGGTCAGGTAAAGCTTGTGGTCAGTGAGAGGTAAGCTAACTGGGTCAGGTAAAGCATGTGGTCAGTGAGAGGTAAGCTAACTGGGTCAGGTAAAGCTTGTGGTCACTGAGAGGTAAGCTAACTGGGTCAGGTAAAGCTTGTGGTCACTGAGAGGTAAGCTAACAATCTATACCGAATCTATAATCTAGTGATGCAACTTGATTTTTTTCTTGGAACACAGTGATGAAATCTTATATATCATATATCCTTACAATCAAAGTCTTGAAATCCCCTAAATCAATTTCTAAGTTCAAAGACTCTGTATTTTTTATTCAATTTAAAACATAATATTAATTATGTATTCAGAAATTTTAATTCAAGAGCATTCTTAATAATTTAAAAAAAGACCAAAAAACAATTAACAATTAAGATAACCAAGTTCTTCTGCATGAAGCTGGCCATAGTATTTTGGCTGTGACAGAGGGATACTGATTTGGTTGCCTCCCCTTATCCTAAATATTATTGCAGATTCATTTTAAAACAAAATAGCCATCCAACATCATGGATGTAGTATTTAATTCAATATGAAATCTGTCCTAAAATAAAATAACCAGAAAAACTTAAATGGTATAGTTAATTTTTTTTTATCATTTATTACTACAGAATCTAAAAGAGCTCAAACATCTTTTTAACTACAACTACAGAGTCTACTACACATTCCTTGATTATTTAAAACATCAACTCATTAATAGTAATTATCAGAAATACACAATGGAAAATTACAACAATAATTCTATAGGGTTTTAATCCTTAAATCTAGGAAAAACTTTTTTTTATGTTTTATATAAAATCTTTCTGCATGTACAAATATTGCTGCATGTGCAGCTGATTTTACTAAATATCACATTTAACTCATTCACCACTGAAGACACATTTGAACTATTCCAATTCAAAGGTTGGGCTAGTTCATTATGAAATTTCAGTGGTAAATGAGTTAAGTTATTACCAAGGTTTCTTTCAGCAAAACTTTTCTTTCTATAAATATATTTTATTTAACTTGGTTTGCTTTATAACATGTTATTGGACATAAACTCCTCTTAATATCATGTAATTAACTCCTCTTTATATCATGTCCTTTCACCAGTTTACCAAAATATCACATGTAAAATTTACATGTTTAAATCCATAAAAACAATGGTGACTATTTTGTAATGACCCTGATAGTTTCTTACCTTGGCTTGAATTAAACAACAAACCAAACAAACAGTACAGGTGTAAGTGAGCTTTGTTTTATTACGACACGAGGTAATAATTGCTATGTATGTAGTATTTAAAATCTAATGTTTTAAAAAGTTACATTCATGCATATATACTTTGATTTTTATAGAAATGTCTTCACAGAGGAATAGTATTCTGTTAATGTCACATTTCACTTAATGTCACATTGTCCTCTGTTAATGGTACATGACATTAAGAGGGTTGATTTACATTGACTTCCATACATTTGGGCCAACTCCATTAATATTCACATTTCCAAATATGTCAAATTCTCCCTCACTGTGTCAGAATGACCAAGGGGAGGTTATAAAACTTACATAATTGGTCTAAATCTGCCCTTTACCTCAGATTTACTTAAAATCTTTTGAATGTATTTTTTAATCTGTTTTTTGCTTTGTACAATGGCGCTAAAAAAGTGTTGGTCCCTCTGACCAGAGACGTATAAAACCTGTACAAACATATACATCTCTGCTTTGACCTTGCCCTGTCATTCATACTGATAGAACTACAGTGCTTATGTTTTCATGATACCTGTACGCAACATTACATAATGTTTCTTGACTGGTTATGTTTTGAAAAAATTAAATTGAGATATGTTAAATCAAACTAGACAGTATGTTACTGTTCACCTTCGTCTGTAAGTTGTCACAGTGACATCCAAACCTGGCTTACTATCTGGGTACATGTACATAATGTATAATGAAGGGTCATAAAACCCTGTTGGATCAGCTTCCCATTATCATGAAAACTCAATGTACGCCTTTTAAACAATTCCAGAACAACACATTTAAGAGAATAAGTATATAAGATTTATCAGTAAGTGGTGTTACATGGGACAGCATTGTGATAGTACTTTCAACACTAGAGCCGACCTTAATTTGTGCCAAATAAGTAAAATTCAGCATTTTCCAGAAATTTTCCGTTATGTGGTACAAATTTCGAAATCATTAGCAAGTAAAATCAAGTGTACTTTCGACAATCCAAGTCTAGATAAACAAAATTCTAATGAAATATAATGAACTACACGTAAAACACCATCCTCCAAATTAAGGAGAGGCCCTGTAAGTAAAGCTGAGGTATGTTACTGTTTCTAGTGTTGAAACAGACATAACAATATATCTTTCACCTGAGCAACACTTTAATTCCTATTTTTAAACTAAAATTAACTTTAACAATCTGGACAATAATAACAGTAATGTACTACCTGATTGGGAAGTGTTTTAGTATTAAGTAACAAATTCTAGTAGTATTTAAAAAAAATATCTTAAAATTTGTGAATTCAGTAACGTGCGAGAGACAATGAAAATGTTGAACAAATACCTTATTACACTAACATTGACAATCTCTGTATGTACATCTGTCAAACAGTTCCTTTTACGCTCTGTATGAAAAGAATGTGACAAAAAATAAGAAACAACTTAACCATGTTCAGGTAGTTATGGCATGAATCACATGATATTCCGTATTTCTTCTGTGTAAGGCACTAACCCTCATAATACTAGGTGGGACTAAGTGTAGACAAATATTGACGTGACGATGACAGTTGTAGTCCTGAGAATTTCTGCCGTGCAGGAGGATCAATGGGACAGTGCTGTCACATGATGGCTTTTACCTGCGCAGGTTGCTACGGAGGCTGGAAACAGTAAAGATAGGTACATGTAGATAATCGAAGGAGACAACATACAATGTTCAAACAGTTAATATAAAACAGGAATTTTTATGACTATACACCACACCACAATTATAATCAGGTTTTGTAGGGTACAAACAGTACTTTATATGATAATTGACAATCTACTGTTAAGCTGGAAAACTCGATCTGTAAGCCATGGGCTAACTAAAATCATCTGTTTATAATAAATATATGATATACGGTAATGCTTTTCTGTTAAATACAATATATATTTCACAAGTGTAGTAAATGCTGAAATTTTTATATGAGTGAAAAATATTAGCGTATTCTGCCATATGAATGAACTATTAGTCAAAGTGAAAATCATTGAACTTTCTGTTAATTATGTTTTTGAACTTCCTACAACGACTAATTATAATAGCTTGATCATTTACTCAATACAAGCCTGTTCACATCTTTGAATGAACTAAACAGTAGTCTACAGTTTTATATCATTAGTTGATAAGATTTACTTACAAAATTGTTAATAATTACTAATTTTGAATGCACTACTTTTTATTTTAGCGGCTATAATTTCGTGTAATTCAAACAGGATTAACATTTTTTTTATTTTATTTTTTCCGATCTGACCTAAAGTTTACTGTAAAAGGAAAGTGTATGCAGAAAAGATGAAATAAAAATCCCTTTAATTTATACTGTAACTTCATCTGCATCTGAATTGAACAGAAGATCTTTAACTTTAAATATGATGAAGATGGCTGATATGAATTAAGAATGATTTAAGTCTGTCATTCCCTAGCATCCAGATCCCTACAGCTAGCCAACTCAACCCTTTAGCTAACAAACCAGTTTAACTATAGTTAAATCAACGTACATTGTTTGTGTATAAAGTAAAATTTTGATATTACATTTTTCCAAACTGAAGAATCTTATTGAAAATTTAAACTAGTTGTTGGTGACCATTGCAGCTAGTTCATCATTTTTACTAGTTGTTGGTGAGCCCTGCAGCTATCTAACCATTTTAACTAGTTCTTGGTGTTCCCTACAGCTAGCAAGAGCTTCCCTACAGCTGGTTAACTATTTTTACTAGTTGTAGGTGACATCTACAGCTAGCTTATCATTTAAACTTGTTACTGATGACCCCAACAACTAGCCAACTATTATAACCAGTTGTTGGTCACCCCTACAGCTAGTCAACTATTTTAACTAGTTTTTGGTCAACCCTACAACTGGGCCAACTATTATAACCAGTTGTTGGTCACCCCTACAGCCATCCAACTATTATAACTAGTTGTTGGTCACCCCTACAGTCATCCAACTATTATAACTAGTTGTTGGTCACCCCTACAGCTATCCAACTATTATAACTAGTTGTTAGTCACCCATACAGGTAGCCAACTATTATAACTAGTTGTTGGTCACCCCTACACCTAGCCAACTATTATAACTAGTTGGTAGTCACCCATACAGGTAGCCAACTATTATAACTAGTTGTTGGTCACACCTACAACTAGACAACTATTATAACTAGTTGTTGGTCACCCCTACAACTATTATAAATAGTTGTTGGTCACCCCTACAGCCATCCAACTATTATAACTAGTTGTTAGTCACCCCTACAGGTAGCCAACTATTATAACTAGTTGTTGGTCACCCCTACAACTATTATAACTAGTTGTTGGTCACCCCTACAACTAGCCAACTATTATAACTAGTTGTTGGTCACCCCTACAGCTAGCCAACTATTATAACTAGTTGTTGGTCACCCCTACAGCTAGCCAACTATTTTAAGTAGTGACATCTCACCTGAGTACACCAGATCCAACCACTAGGAGACTGTGTAGCCATATGTCCAAACCCTTCCTCCACCTGGTCTTGTCCCTGAAGAATATAAAAAAAAAGTATACATAATAAAGGATCTTACTACCTCCTGCAGATTAGATACGACCTCATGTGGACTAGATATATACTTCCTTGTGAACTAGATACCACTGAATGTGGACTAGATACTACCTCATGTGGATTAGATACTACCTCATATAGACTAGATACTCTTGTAAACTAGATACTACTGAATGTGGACTAGATACTACCTCATGTGGATTGGATACTACCTCATGAACTAGATACTTCAGTATCTGAACAGTATATTAATGCATTTGGATAAGATACTACCTCATGATACCATTGAATGTGGACTAGATACTACATTGTGTAGATAAGATCCTACCTCATGTGGATTAGATATTTCTTCGTGTGGACTAGACACTATGACATGTGGATTAAATACTACTTTGTGTGGATAAGATCCTACTTCATGTAGATTAGATACTTCTTCGTATGGACTAGATACTATGGCATGTGGATTAAACAATACTTTGTGTGGATAATAAAATATATATAATAGATACCACTGAAGGTGAACTAGATACTACCTCCTGCAGATTAGATACTCTTGTGAACTAGCGTGTGGATAAGATACTACTTCATGCAGATTAGATACTACATTGAGTAGATAAGATCCTACCTCACGTGGATTAGATACTCGTTAAAACTAGATACCACTTAATGTGGACTAGATACTACCTCCTGCAGATTAGATACTACCTCATATAGACTAGATACTCTTGTGAACTAGATACTACTGAATGTGGACTAGATACTACCTCATGTGGATTGGATACTACCTCATGAACTAGATACCTCAGTATCTGAACAGTATATTAATGCATTTGGATAAGATACTACCTCATGATACCATTGAATGTGGACTAGATACTACATTGTGTAGATAAGATCCTACCTCATGTGGATTAGATACTTCTTCATGTGGACTAGACACTATGGCATGTACATTAGATAGTTCTTCATGTGGAATAGACACTATGGCATGTGGATTAAACAATACTTTGTGTGGATAAGATACTACTTCATGTGTATTAGATACTTCTTTGTGTGGACTCGACACTATGGCATGTGGATTAAACAATACTTTGTGTGGATAAGATCCTACCTTATGTGGATTAGATACTTCTTTGTGGGGACTAGACACTTTGGCATGTTGATTAGATACTTCTTTGTGTGGATAGGATACTTCTTCATGTGGACTTTACACAACTTCATGTGGATAAGATACTACCTTTTGTGGATAAGATACTACTTCATGTGGATTATATACTTCTCATGTGGACTATACACAACTGCATGTGGATTAGATACTACCTTGTGTGGACTAGATACTACTTTGTGTGTATTAGTTACTAAATATATGCACTTTGTGTGAATTTAACCTTATATTAGTGGTCTAAGATACTATCTCATGTGGATTAAATACTACTTCATGTGGACTGGACCCTATTGAATGTGGATTAGATACTAACACACGTACATCTTGTGAAATAAATCTTAGATCCAGTGGTCTGATTACTACTTCATGTGGAATAGATACCACTTCCTAAGATAAAAACTGAGATTTACATTTTTCATAATAACTTACAACAGTACTAAATTAATCCATTTTTAATTTTCATAACTGTTTTCTTTTTCAAAATCTTTTTAGCAATTATCTACACACTAGATTACAAGTGATAATGTTATATTGTACTTGAAGATTTCCTCTGCAATAGCTGCTCATACAAATTTTGGACAAATCAGCACATAAGACACAACCAAGTGTTCCATGTTTGCTTTACACTGTATGTAATGTTTTTATTGTATTAATTCTGCTTCATTGTATGAATTAAGGTTTTCAATGTACTCTTTCTATGTATAAAATATAAATTGACAGAATGGATACCATAATTAAAGGAACACTGTGGTATTTTCTAATCAAACAGTTGGCTGTGAGGTCAGGCCAAGTGTATGTGCTGACCTTTGTACCACTGAAGACATATCTGGCCCAAGTTTCATGAAAGTGAATTGAAGTCAAATATAATTTCTAAACTTTTCTTGCTCCAATAACACTTTTTTATAAAAGCATTTAAGGAACTTCCATGGAAGTCAATGTAACTGGAACATGCTGACATTATATTATCTTTTCTGAATAGCATTACTGGTGAATGTGCGATATTGACATTATAAAGAATACTGATGCAAGGAAATTCAATTGAAATTGTTTATTTTAATTGATTATTCACATAAAACAGATGATGAGAACATTAACAGAGGCTATGTGACAATGATAAAAACAAGAATCACATGCAGAGATCAACAGACCTACAAGGATCAAATCAACAGCTAATCTGGCATAGTAAGTAAACAGGAAGAGCTTGATGAATTGCACCAATGATCCTACTCCCTATTATACGTGCAGGACACAAATTGTGTCATCAGTCATTCATAATCCGCAGCATTTAAGACACAAGCTGTGTTCTCAGTCATTCATACTCCCTGGTATAAGACACAAGCTGTGTTCTCAGTCGTTCATACTCCCTAGTATAAGACACAAGCTGTGCCATCAGTCGATCAGACTCCCTAAACTATAGACACATCTGTATATGTATATATAATATACATGGTACTTGCCCACCTTCAAAAATAAAATAAAATCTACATATATTGCTTTCATATGACATCATCTGTCACAGAACATTAGAATTTAAGTAAAATTTGCTGCTGTATCCGGAGTTGTTTAAAACTAATATTATATTAATATTATACCCATGTCTCTGCTTTGTCCTTTTTTTTTCAAAGAAAATATTTATGTCTTTAAAAAAATGGGTGGGACTTATAAAGGTTAAGAATGGTAATTCCAGACTGCTATTTAGAGATGAGAAGAGTGTGGATAAGGGTGGAAAATGGGAACAGGGGCATGTTGCCAACCAGAAGAAAACTGGGGAAGACAAAAGAACGACAGAAGATAAAATGAGAGGCCGGGCCATTGATAGCTCCAAAAGGAACAAGAATAAAGAATGGAAGCTATAAGATGATAACCAGCCATCACAGGTGTAGGGACCCTTTTTTCCCCATAACATTCAGGTTATAGCTAGAAAACCATAGTGTTTCTCTTACATGATTCCCGTTGCTGAACAGGGAAACAATTGCCGTAAATTGTGACATCACAATGGAAGATGCAGGTGTAAAGCATTGTTACACAATGTCGTAATTAAATGATTGAGCAATGAAATCATATCCAGGGTATTACCTGCTAGTGGGTAACCAAAAATGTTTACCGACTCCTAGCAGGTTTATCCAATGAGTCAGGAGTGAAGTAACCTAAAGTGGATGTGGGAGAAAGAAAGTAAAATCTTTGAAAATGATGAGCCAACAATCTTACTTGATGATTCTGATGTATATTTAAGTACACAGTACGTACCTCGTCAACAATACAATAGATGCTAAAAATGCTATGTAAATGACAAGTGCTCTCTGCAGGAAATTTAAAATGAAATTAATTAACCCTTTTTGATCTCTCAAACAACAAACTTTCCTTGCAGTAAACAGTTGTTTATAAAAAAAACACTGTTTGTTATCCCTGCAGGTATTTATCAAATATTCATCTTCAATCTGTGCAATGCCACCAAATAAGTTAATTACAAAGGACGCTAACACTCAATCTAAATGTGCTAAAACTAAAGCTAATTAGTGGAATTATAATTAGCAAGCAAACGTTTAAATAAAACAGTGGATAAGTGAGGTTTCCGATATTACAACTGTGATCTGATTTAAAGTTTTAAATAATGTAACAGAGGACCTGATTGGGCAGTAATAAATTTACCACAGGGAGGTCTCTGTAATTGGTTTGTAGCAGTCAGCAGTGTTTTGGTCAGTTCCCTGACCAATGGTCAGACACAATTATTGCTTCAGCACTGATAGTGAATCATCATTTATATGTGTGTGTTAACTGATCAATAGAAATTAAAGGAATAGCTCCTCCTAAGGACTGCACATCCTTATCTGACACACTTCATCTGCTATTCAGTTAACTAAACACTCCAAGCCAAGATTCCATCAATGAAAATATAATAAATACATTGGATGTTGTCTGACTGTCCACTCTGGGTTTGGAGAAATCCAATCAGTGGTGATAGGGTACTACTAGATCCTATCTCCTAGATACAACCACATTATTGATGGGTTTTTTTATCTAGTGAAGGGAGATAACTCATTCATGACTGGCTGAGTTAACTTTAAACAGATATTTCTTTTCTTTTCAAAACTATAAATAATGTATGGCACATTTGGAAAAAAATCTTTTAAAGCACATGTTAAAAAAGCAGCTTAATTCAACCTAAAAATAAAAATAAACAGCTACATCACATTCAATGAAATCCACAGTTCTATATAATGAAACAAAGCAGATTGTAATTCCACCAATCATTAGGTAACATAGTGTGCAGTCAAAGTTGATAGTGGACAACTTACAAACAACACCAATACACACAAAGTACATGCATCTTAAACTTCATTGATTTCTCCTCTGATTTATGTCAAAGTTAACATCAACTGTCAGAAAATGTAAAAATACATTAATCTAAGCCAGTTCTTATCAAAGCAAATATAAAAGATCAAGAAAGAATTTTCCTCAACACCTCAGTTCAACTTCTCCTTTACACCAATACCAAATCCAAAACATTTATGTTACCACCGTCACACATGTATGTTACCACCCTCACACATGTATGTTACCACCGTCACACATGTATATTACCACCATCACACATGTATGTTACGACTGTCACACATGTATGTTACCACCGTCACACATGTATGTTACCACCGTCACACACGTGGTATGTTACGACTGTCACACATGTATGTTACCACCGTCACACGTGTATGTTACCACTGTCACACATGTATGTTACCACTGTCACACATGTATGTTGCCACCGTCACACATGTGGTATGTTACGACTGTCACACATGTGGTATGTTACAACTGTCACACAGGTATGTTACGACTGTCACACACGTATGTTACGACTGTCACACAGGTATGTTACGACTGTCACACATGTCTGTTACAAGAGTCCCACATGTGGTATGTTACAACAGTCACACATGTAGTATGTTACGACTGTCACACAGGTATGTTACAACAGTCACACATGTGGTATGTTACGACTGTCACACATGTATGTTATGACTGTCACACATGTCTGTTACAAGAGTCACACATGTGGTATGATGGGCAATCGGTTTGAAATCATAATCAATATTCGGTTTGTAATCGGAAGTAGTAAACCGATCGATGATCAATTGCATAATCAGTTCATAATTTTATGGGACAGAATACCTAAATGAAATGAGAACACTACCACAACATCAATAGACAGAGTGTTTCATCACTATACACTAGGTTTCATTCTTTTATAATGAATGGATATCAAGCAACTTTTATGCATTTTTATCAATCATATAGTATAAATTATACCAATATGACTTTCAAAGCATACTTTACATGGAAGACATTTAGATACTTTGATTGCAATGAAGAACCTATTATATCAATGATGGAATTTGTAATAGATTAACAGAATTGGAAAGGGCAAACCGATCGAATTTTGATTATAATCGATCATCAGCCCATCACTAGTTACAAATGTCATACAGGTATGTTACGACTGTCACACAGGTATGTTACGACTGTCACACATGTATGTTACAACTGTCACACATGTATGTTACGACTGTCACACAGGTATGTTATGGTAGCCAATATCAGAGACAAAAATCTTTAAATCAAGAAGATTAAGAATTAGTTAATTTTTGAGGTTTTTAAAAATGTTTCAACTTTTTCCCATATAAATCTGAGGCCTTTTTCTTTTCCTTTTTTATATTTCATTCCAGCTTAATGAAGGAAACATAAAAAGAAAGAAAAAAGTGGAATTTCTTGAAAAAAAATGTCTTTGTTAACCTACATTTATCAAAACAACATGCAAATTGTATAATGAAAATTAGGCACAAAAATCAAAATCTACAGGAAAAACAAAAAAATTATAGCACCAGGTGAGGAAAATCAAATCTTCAAATTTCTTTACCTCTGATATAATTTACAGTTAAATAACATAATGCTTTAAATAATGAAGAGTTACTTCCCTTGCAATAGCCTTCTTGCATCATTTTGATATGAAAAATGCTTTACTTTAAAAATGTCTGTTTCTTCAGATCAGAGACAAAGAAATTCTTCAAAGGTGTTTAACAATCAAAAACATACCAAACAAATAAAATCAAACAAATGAACAGAAAACCAGTAAAACAAACATTAAGTAGTGTTACAGCAACAAAAAAATAACTTAAAATTGGTAAATTAAAAAAAAGTCTTTCATGCAAGCACCACAACAAGGCAGGGAGTGCTGGGTGGTGGCCTAGGATACCTGAATGACTTCTAGGCTGCCGTGTAGTGAGCTGTGACTGCCGCTCGATGATATGCTGCTATTCGATTGGTAGATATCCTGTCCCCCTCGGCAACGACAAGGCAAATTCTCAAACAGTGCTGTTGAAGACATTCTGTCTGCACATCGCCGTGGAATCTTTCCAAATGGTGTACAAATACAGTCAGATTCTGAAAGTTCCTGTTCTCCGTTTAGAATGTCATCCATGCTACGTGTTTTCCTACTTGCCTCATACACTTGTGTCCTAAACATGGCACTTTCCATGGCTGCTGTGATTTGTTTGTAAACCTCACGTTCAGAGTAACGTCCATAATGACTGCGGGTTGCACAATCTGAGTCCACAGAAGGCTTTGATCGCTTTCCATTCTGTACCATATACATATCAGATGCATCATCTTGTGATGTATTACTCCCAGAGCTAGGCGACTCCTGACAGTCTGATCCGAGGTCACATGTAGGATAGGTAGAAAACGCTATACTGGCAGGCCGTACCAGAGACTTTTTTGCCCTATTACCCTTTGACCTGAGCATGACCTTTGAGGTTGAAGGAGCTGTTGTTGATGAGGATAGTGTGCTGCTGACTACCAAGGGAGAGTCAAGAGGAGAGCCGATGTCCATTGAATTGCTACTGCCCGCTGACGACACTGTAATACTGGTAGTTACTGGCAGTGAAGGTGACATTGATGATAATGGTGATAAAGATGGCGATGAAGAATGTGATTTCGCAAAACAGGGCGTAAAGTTCAATTTGTCCAGAGAGGTAGATGGGAAATTGATAGCCTCTGAAATGTTTTCCACTGTGACAGTTTCTGTCCGCTCTGAGATCGCAGTTTCAAAATGGAGGCGAGCAAGTGCTGCAGATGGGGACTGGATAGTCTGAGAAGCTGCAGCAGCTGGACACAACTGACTCATCCCCAGCCCCAGTTTTTTAGATGTTGTCTGCTCTTGGGACGATTTACTACCATTGTCACTTGGTATTGGACTTGAGCCAGACACAGATGACGACACAGTGCTACTCACTGCACTCTTCTTAAGCCTCTCTGTCGTGTCTGATTTCAGAGATACTATTGGTGCCATTCCGAGCTGTAAGGAGAATGTTGGTCGAAGTTTTGGGATGGTAGTAGCAGTAGAAGTTTTAACTTCCCTGCTATTGAATCCTGAAAAATCTTTCATTGTCATTGTTTCTAATGATGAAAATTCATTATCTGAAAAGCAGTTCAGTTCTGCTGGCCTCAATGGTGAATACATTGCACTGTTTTTGTCATTGGATGCTTCCTTACTGTCAGAAGTGGACACATCCATTTTTTCATTTCCAGATGATAACAATGTCATACCTAGAGATCTGTTGACACGATTCGCTTTGCCAAACTTAGTATGTTCATGAGATGATCCAAGGGTTATGAGGGAACCCTTTTCTTGTTCCAATAAAGACACACTATGCCTTGAGGGTAATTTGTCTTGGTCTCCTTCATTAGAAACTGAATTCCTTGAGTCTATAAATGTGCGGCTGTTAGATTCTGGTGAAGGGAGTGTTATAGGAGATAAGGACAGATGGAATGCTTTGGTGGAGATTCTGCGTTTAGATGACACAAAACTTTGAGACATCACTGATGTAGAGCTAGATGACACCTCTGTATCGTGCACTAAATGCTTTGTCACCTCTACAGAGTTTTTCCCCGTAATTGTCCTATCTAAATCAAGAATACTGGACTTCTGTAACGAGGGTGATGGTGAATCGGTTGCCATAGAAACAGATCCGGAGTCTCCTTTACTGGACTGTTCTGAGGGTGGTTCTATAGAAATGGACAAATCACAAGGTCTTGATGGTTTATGGGACACCGACTGAATTGTAGATTTCTGAACGTCATCAACGGATGGTGACAGTACTGGTGATAATGGTAATGTGAAAGGCTTGGAGAATTTTCTTCCAGGTGAAACAGATAAAGGAGAAGTAACTAATGTGCGTTTCCGTTCTATCACAACATGTTTAGAATTGTTACAACTACTGCTGCTTGTTTCAGTGGTAGAGGCATTTACAGATGTCACAAGGTTCTGAGATGGTAGTGTCACAGGCGACAGGGGTAATGTAAATGTCCGCATGCCAGCCGTTTTTGAGCGAGGAGATGAAGCAATTACTTGACTTTCTGTTTCTGTGTTGTTCTCTTTATTGAGAGATTCCGGACAAGCAATACTTGATGAACTTACATTTGTAAGTCCAAATGGGAATGGAGGCATTTCTGAACATGGTGTCATGGCAACTGGAGATTCACAGTGTGGATGAAGAGCCTGAGCGAACGAACTAGAGCCACGACTGAATGTCTTTGGACTACATTGGGACTGGTCTGACTTGTCACTAACAGTGTTCATTTTAACAGCACTATTATAACTCATGTTGAAGTCACGTCCTGTATGGCCAAGGTCAAAGTTGTGCGACACCGATCTCTTCATGCTTCTGATTGGCTGGGACAGTCCGAGAACTAAGTCACCTCCTCTACCTTCAGCAAAAGGCAGGTTGTCATTATTATCCCTTTTATGTCCAGAACAAGGTAAAGACGCCTCCTGAGTGGCCATAGAAGAACCCATCAGATCAAATGAGAATGGTTTTTTAAGTTTAGCCACAGGTGATGAAGGGCTACGCAAGTCCATTGCCATAGACACATTTCGCACCTCGCTTGGTCGACTAAATGTGTCTCTTTTAGGCTTTGATTCTTCATTATTTCTGAAATTCTTTTCAAATTCCAACAACTGTCCCAAGAAGTTGAAATTCGGAGAGATCGTTGGTCTTTTGTCCTTGACGTACCTTAAACAGTGAAAAAAAGAACTAGTTAATGACTTGTAGAATTTATAACAACCTTCCAGTTTTGTATTTTAGTTAATTTCTAATATGGTGACAATACGCTTATTTTTCATGAATATTGCATACAAAATTATATTTTTTAAACAAACACCTGAAGAAAACTGCACAGTATGACTGAAATCAGGGATCAAACTCATGTCAACATTATTTGGTAAAAAAAAATAATAATCTCACAATGATAAAATGTGATACTACAATTCATATCGACAATATTTTGTTGACCTTTTTTTGCCCAACATGATATTCTGTGATCCTACAATCACATAAATTATTGTTATTTTCCCTGTAACACAAACACCTCAGCACATTATCAGCTGTTCAATGTTGCATTTGTAATGTTGATAAATTTGTACCTGTAAGCATCATCAGAGGACATGTTTAAATGCTTCATGACGTAAGCGATGGCTAGTGTTGGTGACCGCGAGATTCCGGCTAAACAGTGGACCAGCACGCAGCCATTGGCCTCTCGCACTTTGTCTGAAAAGGACAATATTGATTGAGTTGCAGACAAAACAACAGGTGCTTGTGATAGCCAATCACACATCAAATCAAATGAATTACTCAACATCCAACTTAACCATTACAAGCCATCAACTGTTTGATGTGTTTTATTTCTAGTATTGAAGTCAGTTTAGTACCATGGACATCCCAGAATATTATGAATAGGTTCAACATTCACCTCCAAATATTGGTTTTTATAAAACTTCACTTAAGGAATTGATGATCAATATTGATTTCTTAACAACTTAATTGCCCAGGAATCAAAATCATAACCTTTTTCCAGAACAATTTGAATAGCTTGTATGCTGAATAATGTTTACAGCAGAGGGACAAAGATTAAAAAAAAAATATGATATATTTTTAAATGTGTGCAAACAAGATTTAACAATGATTTAATCTATTTTGAAATTCACACAAAGTTTACTTGAAATGAAATTATAATCTGTAAAGGAATTTGGAGATTACAGCACTGCCAAGTTTTCTAAATGAAATTTAAATTTCAACTTGACATAATCCTATCTGAACATTCCTTCACCAATCTCTTTATAAGCTGATTTTTAAAATTCCCTGAGGTGATTATGATTGTGTTTGACATTTAACTACTGAAGAGTTTAACAGTAATCCAATTAACACAGAGTTCCCTATCAGGCCCCCTTCTCCTCAACATCCAATTATCAGTATCACCATTATTTTCTTCACTTTTGAAAAATGATCACACCATCTACATACCACTTAAATCACTACTATTTTTTTCAAGTTTATGTCTTTATAAAACATTAATTCATTACCAAAACGTTGATGTACTAGGTACTTAACTGAGAGGAAGGTATGAAATAACTAATACTAACTAATGATATTAATATCCTATGATTGTATACCATTTACATAAATTGACATGTACCAATAGTTCACTGTTCATTTAGCATGGTGTTTTTTTCAACCAGCAATATTTCCCTTTCCTTAAAACAGAATAGTAATAAATCTTTTAATTATCATGTTCTGATAGATGATCTTCAATGTTCAAAGGCCCATGACAGAAGGTGTGAGGCTGAGGTAACTAAGCCTTACAAATCCTACATAGGGAGGCCTCCAGTACATGACTCACCATCCCTCCACACAAATACCAGATAAAACTGTATTAATATTCTAACTTTCTCTGACGTCAAAGGAATCACTTTCCAGTAGTTGGAGGTAATTCCCAGCAGAAGACAGCGCCCTATACCATGTCCTGTGGTTTTCTGCAGTAGCAGGGATTCCTATTTATTTATATATTATTACAGAACCTTTGCTACATTTGGGTCTCTGTTGTCTAAAAATATCTCTGGAGTGTAGTGTAGACAATTAATAAGCATGTGAAGCATTTATCCTGGTTATATGGTGCAAAAATACCCTGATATCCCTTCTATTGCAGCCCTAAACTTTTAATGAATAGCACGTTTTTTCCCACAGATGCTTCAGACATTAAAAAACATCAACATTTACTTAATAATAATTTGATTGGCAATGTCAATTATTTTTGCTATCTGAATAAATCAGCTCCCGTGTTTCCAAACTAGGATACTAACCATACTATCACTGTACAATATTCACCAGTACCCAAAACTACAGCCAATGATGCTACATATCCATGGGGTAGAGCCGGCCATCAGAGATAAAACAATACTACCTACTGACATTGGCATTACCAATTACTTTTTTGCTGTCAAGGCACCTTTCTTTGTGCAGACCACTAGAAACCTGAGGCTATATATAGGAATGTTCATGTTGGTAACAAGGGTATAATGAATAGCTGATAATCATCAGGAGGAAATTCTACTTCTCCATTATGTCAGTTTCACATGCAACATCTACTTCACTGATGTATCAGCTTCAACACATGACAAAAACCATATCACATGAAGCTAGAGATAAGTTAATCCTGCTCCAATGTTTAATACGATTTCCTGTTTGGTACCCGTTACTATGTGTTCTGGGTGTATTCCATGTTACTTTTTCTCTGTTACTTTTTTGCTTACATTAATCTTGGACTTATTGAACTTGAATGCAATAATTACACTCAACATCTATTAACAGTTCCTTTTGTTATGTTACCCTTTATTAACCTTGTCATTTTCCCCTTTTTACCCTTCATTATTATTTTCATATCAAATTTCACAGATATGAGATTGAATATTACCTAAAAATTGGAATGCTTCCTCGAAGAATGGCATCATCTTAGCACTATAGTTGTCGTTGACTGGAATGCGGAAGAAGTGTCCCTCTTGTATAAAGGGGGGCTGGGGACAGGTGGTGCTCACATTCAGTATGTAGGAAATGTCATTCACCTGTGAGCAGAAAATACAGGTATTCCACAAATTGATAAACTGATTTTATACAAAGCATCAGGCATTAATAATTGAATGCTGTACGTGAAACATTACTTACTGAAAACAAAATGTTATGAAACACAAGATATTAATAACTTAATATTATGAAACATGAGCTATTAAAATAGAATGAAAAGGTATCAATAATGAATATTTATAAAACGTTATGTTTGGATAATTAAGTATAGCATTGAAGAAATAACTTTTATTTCACAAGCTGAACAACAATAATACAGCTTATGTCATGACTTCCGTAAAACTGTATTTCAATACGGGATAATTGGTTTATTGAAATGATGTTAAAATATCATGCTGACAGCAGTGTTATACATATTTTATTAACTTATTCAACAGCGTCTATAGCTGTATATATTAAATCAATGCCATGTAAATTGTACACTTCTACCTTTATAAATCAATATAGTTCCCCTATTTAGAAATGTTTCATTTTTACAAATATAACTGAACATCCATTAAAATCTAAATACAAATTGACACCTTCCCCATTACAATGAATCAAATGTGACAAATATAAACATTACAGACTGAAAAGAGGAAACAAAAACCCAATCCATTGGGATGATTCATAGGAAAAGAAACTGAATAGATTATATAGATAAGCAACAAGAATTTAGTAATTATATTTTTTTAAACTTGAACTGGAATACATATATGATATCCTAAAACTACTGTGCCATACCTGCAGGATGTCCTAAGACATATGTGAGGTACATGTATCAATATGACATCCTAAGACTAGTATCACATACCTGTTAAATGTCCTAAGTCTTAACCCTTACATGTCCTAAGACTAGTGTGACATACCTGTACAATGTCCTAAGAGTATTATGATGTACCTGTACAATGTCCTGAGAGTACTATGATGTACCTGTACAATGTCCTAAGAGTACTATGATGTACCTGTATGATGTCCTAAGAGTACTATGATATACCTGTATGATGTCCTAAGAGTACTATGATGTGCTTGTATCATGTCCTAGGAGTTCTATGATGTACCTGTATGAGGTCCTAAGAGTACTATGATGTACCTGTATGATGCCCTAAGAGTACTATGATGTACCTGTATGATGTCCAGATACTATTGTGACATACCTGTATGATGTCCTAGGAGTACTATGATGTCCCTGTATGATGTCCTAAGAGTACTATGATGTACCTGTATGATATCCTAGGAGTACTATGATGTACCTGTATATGTCCTAGGAGTGCTGTGATGTACCTGTATGATGTCCAGAGACTGTTGTGACATCCCTGTATGATGTCCTAAGAGTACTATGATGTACCTGTATGATGTCCTAGGAGTACTATGATGTACATGTATATGTCCTAGGAGTACTGTGATGTACCTGTATGATGTCCAGAGACTGTTGTGACATACCTGTATGATGTCCTAAGAGTACTTTGATGTACCTGTATGATGTCCTAAGAGTACTTTGATGTACCTGTATGATGTCCAGAGACTATTGTGACATACCTGTATGATGTCCTAAGAGTACTATGATGTACCTGTATGATGTCCTAAGACTAGTTTGACATACCTGTATGATGTCTTGAGACATGGCATCACGGTGTGAGCCCAGGTATAGGAAGGATAGTATCCGAGTGGGCCCCACATTGCTGACAGGCATACATGGCTGGGACAGTGATGTCATGGGAGCACATTTGTAGCTGCTTGTGCCTTTGTTTTCACACAACATTGGATGCATGGCTTGAAAAGCCAAATATCCACCTGCGAAATAAATCATTAAATATTAAATTCAGCTTTAATTCCTTTGTTTTGATAATTAACCACAGACAGTTTTCATTTCATTTATCAGTAACCAAGATTTTTCAAATTAATTTAACAAAATTTAAAACCTTTAAAAAATTAAAATGAGTTTGATATTTGAATTATTTCAGTAGACAAATCTTATTGTCATTTTTTGGACGCATTAATCTGAATAACTGTTTAAAAATTGCTGAAGAAGAATTTTTTTCATTTGATATAAAAATTCCTTATTATAATTTATGCAAACAAGCTTGGTGTCTGTGGTCAATGAACAAATCTAATATTAAATATTATGAATAAATTAAACCTGGGTTGGAAAATCTTGATTTCCTTCCTAAGATATTATAACTCCTTTCTCTACGGTGATGCAGAGAGGATTAATCATATGCAAATGAGCTTTACCATATTTGGAAGTTTCACCCAATAAGCATGAAATAAGGCACAAGACCCCCTCCCAGGCACCCTCCTCACAGGGATGCATTTTTTTCCCACACAGTCCCTGGGCCCTAAGACAAAGTCTAGATTAGACAAAGCAGATTGTAAGCCTAGAATTACCCCTACCCTGCTCTGTAGGGCTAAGCAGTAACAAACATATGTGACAAGGCATTTGAACTCCATCAATCTCTTCTACAATGACACTGGGTAGCTAGTGGGCCCTAGATAATCTCCACCTACACAAACACATCAACGCTCCACAGCCATTATGACATAAGCATGATCAACATGAAGCCGAGTTCAAAAGTTCATGTACAAAAATAAATTATCAAACGGTTGCTAATAAGAATACAGTATATAATGATTTAAAATGGTTGATTTTGTCTTTATGTATCAACTATCAACATATTTTATCATTTACTCATGATTTTGGTATTTACAAAATTTTCAGGTCTTACGCAATGAGACTGTTATCCTTTATTTATGGTGTTATGCAAGTTCTTGCCACACAGTGTTGGTATCCCAGAGACAACAGGGCATTAAAGCTCCTAACTTATCAACCTTATCTTTGAAAGGTGTGCATAGAAAAATCACAACACTGAAATCCCAGAAGACCCAAGTCTTATAAATATCCATGTACATGTAGTGCTCACCAGGTTTCTATTCTGCATAAGATTAAGAAAATTGTTCTTTGTAACTAAATTTATGCAATTATCAATAAACTCAAAAATAAGAACATTAGTTACAAATTATTTGAAATCTTTTGTAGTTTTCAATCATAGTTACATTGCATCAGAACATTTATGCATCACTGAAAATCTTAAAGACTATCAATGAGTCAGATAAAGGAGACCAATAAAATGTCTTTATTTTACGCTGAAAAATTCTGGTTTCCATCGTTTTCAACCAAGTATGTGTCACACTCATGTGAAATGCACATGCTGAGTACCCCTGTGTGGCCACCACGCGACCTACTCCTGCAAACACTATTTCTTAGTCATTTTCCAGTAACAGCTGTTTAACAATGATTTTTTATGATTCAGCTCTGAGCCAATTAAAGATTTTCATACCCAAGCAAAACTAGGGACCAATGATACAGCAAGAATAAAAGAGCTGTTCCTTGCAAGGAATGCTACCATGCACCACCAATGGTCTGTTCACTTGACTTGCAAAATATACTTCAACAAAACAATTTCTCTAAAACATCTTGAAGTAATTTTCAGTGTATCCAATTTCTTTAAAACAAGGCACATTTTGAAACACCAATGGGTTCTGACAGCTTGGCAGCTAGAGGACACTTCCCATCTATGGTTTTGTAACAGTTTTTTAAATTAATAAAACGATCAAAAAAAGTTTTAAATTGTTTGTAATTTTATCATTAATTTAGGGCCCACACTTGTATCTTCAATAACAATGGTAGGTTAAAATTGTACCTTCTCCACATTTTTTTACTTCCACATATTTACTGATTTTTGTACATTCCAAACAAATCTCATTTTCTAATTGTATGGTGTATAGGTTTAAGAAAGTATTACACATGATCATTTACAAAATGTTCAGGTCTTATGCAATGAGATTGTTATCCTTCATTCATGGTGTTATGCAAGTTTTTGCCACACATACAATGCATCCAGTATCTAAAATAATTCCAGCATCATCTTTGATCAAACCAGCGATGGAACTTGTGAACTATATATACAGTATACTAAAATAACTACTAGCCACATCCTAACCTTTTAGGTCATAATTCCTCCAAACTACTCATTGGCACACTAAACTAATGGTAAAACTTGGAAGTTTTCAGACACACCTGTATTGCAAAACTAGAGTTGACAGTAAATATACCTGTTCAGACAGTGATAACATTTTGAATGCGTCATCGTGAATTTCACATTTAAATTTATACACAAAGATAAAATGATATAGACTTCATGCAAAGTAGATTAGCCCTTCCTCATTTGTAGAACTTATGGCGGATATGAGGAAACAACCTATTCCGTGAAACAATGAATACCCGATAAGTGTTATAAGCTACAACAGTTAAGTAATGACATCACTCTCCATTTCCTCCTTACGTCAGAAAAATATCAAACCAGAAAAAGAATGTATGTACAGGGGTTGTCAAGATCACCAATCCAGGATTGGGAGCTATGAGTCACCCCCTGCTGATCAAGTCAATAAAACTCCATGACAGGGAAAAAATAAATGCACAAAAAAAATCATAATATTATGGTTATATATACACTTCCAAGGAGAAAACCAATTTTGCAATCAAAGACTTTTTTGAATAATTACCTGTTGTAGTCGTCATAGGAACAAGAACATCATATGTGTATCCTCCACATCAAGTTGGCTCACAAACTGGGCCAACAGTTCTCGATAATGAAGCAACTGAATATTCCCTACTGCCAATTATTGGGAAAACCACCTGTTGCTTGGAGCTAGGTGTCTACACAATGCCATACTCCATGCTATGTATATACCCAGCGGTCAGTTCTGACCAGCAACACTGGAGATTTCTGTCTTGGACAGTATTGTCCAATATACAACCCTGGACTCAGCTGACAAAATAAACACCGGAATTTCCTCAATCAGCTGATCACAAAACTTCCAACTTAATCTTCCTTCAGAGCAAAGTTCCAAACTTTCTGAAATTGACACTCTTCTTTGATTTATTACCGACACCAACTGACACCTGTAGAACACGATCACATATAAGTTGTGGCCGCTATTTCCGACTGGAGAGGGTTGGTAAGGAAGCTGGATGTGGGATCCCACGGAGCTGTTGTTGTTGTGTGTGTGTAGGGTGAGCCATACTAGATCTGACTGTAGGCATGAGTCATCACCAGCTCTCCACCACCACCACCACACAACACAGCTGAGCTAGAGGCCTGCCTGGGGGTCTCTCACACACGTGCTTAGTATCAGGGTGGACACACTCAAACACCCAAACAACAAATGTTTCAGGCTTTTTTTATTAATGAGTTTCAATATTTCCTTGTAGCATATCCTGTTTTTCTAACTAAGTTCTAACAGATATAATTTGTCATTCTCCTTCATTTCCTCTCTATGTGGTCTCTACATTCAATTTGTTTATGCACCAAACTTATTTAAACTAATTTACAAAACCACTTTCTAATCTAAAATTTACGACAGGGTGGAATCAGGTATCATCCATAATTTCTGAATTAGCAATTTACTGCATACCTGGTAAGTAGGGTAAAATTTTCTCCCAATTAATTATCTTAGTTGAACCATAAAGCACATGTGTAGAACAAATTACATTTAATTATTTATAAGTTATCTCTAATTAAACTTCTTATTTAATTAACTTTAATTTAAATCAGTTTTAAAATGGCAGCTCATTTACGAAGAAATTTAAATCAATAGATTATTGAATTCATATACCAGAATAAATAGAAGTAAAACTTTAAAGACAATTACAATTTAGTGTTTTTATTTTTCATTTGTGTAGTTTTCAAATCACCAAAAATATATAAAAACAAAATTTGTTACGAATCAGTGTGAAAGTTGCCAGCAGCATGTCCCTGCACACAGCTCCTATTTACTTCAGTTAACCTCTTTGTGGCATGTTTTCCATAATATTAATGACTAGTGCATGCTAGGGATGTTTATTCTCCCCCCCCCCCCCCCCTTGACTTCAAATTAATGAAGGACAAATTAATTCCCTTTATGAATCATGCATGCCCTTTGGTAGGTCCTAGGGTAGTTAATCTGACCAATGACTGACCACTACACACCTGACTATAAAGCTTCAGTCCCTGGACATCAAATAGCAAGCTGTCCCAATAACCACCCAACCCACCCAGACTTTTCAATCTACTCTTAACAGTTTTGATTTCCCTTCATGAATCATCAGTCACCATGATCACACCAGCTCTGTTTCTAGTGTAAACTGGTCAGCACAGTGGAGGCTAGAACAGTAGAAAATGTCCAGAACTTTCATGGAAAATTGTTAATCATATACCAGGGATATTGAGGTTAACTGTAATGCCACCCAAGTCATTGACTTCTTGTAACAATGGATATTTTTCTGGTGAAGCATTCACTTTCTTTCTATGTTTCAAAAATTGGCCAGTACCTGACCTAGCCGTCAGAAATGACCCTTCAGCCTATACTGCTGTTGAACTGCAGGGTTCTCCATACTGCCTGTCTTATATGTTGTAATGTGGCACCTGGCTATAGGGGTGTGGGGTAGCACCAGACTGTGAGACCTGATCTATGTCCAACCCCTACTGAGGTTCTAATCAACTATGTGCATGTGTTGCTAGGACGGACCTCATGGCTAAGGCATGACTAATCCTGTTGTGTTTAGGGTCATTTTATAGATCTATCTATCTGACTGACTGACCACAGAGCTAAGTTGATAAGCAGACTGACCAGTCTATTTGCCTGACCTGTAGAGTGACCATTTAATTACACAGAAGCTACCTAGCTGACATGTTGTGGAGCTAAAGTGTTGATGTATGTGTAGTATTGTACCTAGCTTATTGGACAAAGGTGAT